GGTCATGTATAACCATACATAGTCGTATTTGCCGCTCTGTCTATGCCCACCCCCTCCATACCTGCCTCTCTGTTAGCATATAGATAGTCATACATACACATGCACACACACACACACACACACACACACACACACACACACACACACACACACAACGCCACGCACACACACACACACACACACATACACATGGACGCACAAGCACATACACATGAGAACGCAGTGCCAACAGACACAAAGGGGAAGCCACGAACCACAAGCAGGGCGATGAGGGCAATCAGTGCACCAATTCCGAGCAGCAGCCACTGCCAGTTGCCCTGATGGAGGCGGCGGCATATTGATGAAAACCGGTTCAGCACGGTGTGGTGTGGTGATTGTCATGAGAAGCAGAGACTTGCACTGCAGTGCACACCCGTCAATAATAACGTGGAGCAGACACACACGTGAAAGAGAACGAACATACAAGGCGGACACACACAAGACACATGAAACAGAACGCACAACACACAGAACACTTCCACACACACACACAAAAACACTCAGAACAGACACACAGAGACAGACACACACACACACACACACATACACAGGCAGACCTTGATCCAGCCCCATGCGCGGGACCAGGAGAGGCCCTTGAGGAAGCGGTCAAGCTCGTCGAGAATGCCGTTGTTGTTCAGCGTGATGCAGTTGCCGCCCGCGTCACAGTACCCGTTGTAGCTAGCGGCGATGGTGATGATCATCGTGGGGACAGTGGATGGACGCATGAATGGATGTACGAATGCATGCACGAATGTATGAATGCATGCACGAATGGATGTATGAATGCATGCACGAATGTATGAATGCATGCACGAATGGATGTATGAATGCATGCACGAATGTATGAATGCATGCACGAATGGAAGCACAAATGCAAGTGAAACGGTGACATGGGTTTAGGAATGCAATTCTGTACAGGCAATCAAGAAAGCATGCTCCGAGTTGTGGATGCATGATCGCTTACTCATCGCAGGGCGAGTTTGGAGGAAGCGAGCGGGGGTTGGAAAAGTTTTCTGGCTTTGTGGTGTGCTTGGCGTTGGTGGAGACACACTCGCTGCCGTCACCCCAGCCGGCACCGCGACAGGCAACCTGATGATGGTCGAGGCAGTGAATGGGCAGCGAGAGTGAACCATCGAAGGCCGCAGCGTTGACGCAGGCAGACGCAGGCAGGGGGATAAATACACACACTAACACATGTACACACACACACACACACATGTACACACATGTACACACATGTACACACACTAACACATGTACACACACACACACATGTACACACACACACACATATGTACACACATGTACACACACATAACACACACACACACACACACACACACACACACACACACACACACACACACACACACACACACACGAACACACACAACACACACACGCACACACCCAGCAGTCGTCGCGACCGCCAAGTCGACATTCGTCGGCGCCCGTGAGCGAGCAGATGGAGGCGGCACACCGCCCAGCAGTGCACACCTGGCGCAGATGCAGTGTCGTGGTGGTGTAATCGTGTTGAGTGACGTCGAGTGATTGTGTGGGTATTGAGCGAGAGTGCAAGAAGAGAGGACAAGAGTATGCATGTGGCTTTGCGGGAGAGAGTCATTACCCACAAGAATAAAAAGTACGCAAGTGTGGGCTCTTCACAATCAAGTATGCGCACAGGATTCTACCCCCCCAAACACATACAGGCATCAAGACAAGGCCTGCTTTTGTTACCTTGGCTGCTGTGGTCGGGAACGCGTCGCAGTCGTCATTTGCACACGCACACAGCGTCCCATTGGGTTTGTTGTCTGTCAGAGGGATGTATGTGCAGGTTAGGAGTATTGGTGGGCAAGTGCACGCTGTAAAGGCAAACACACGCGCAGAGGCAGAAAGGCGGATAGACAGACGGAGAGACAGACAGACACTGACAAAGACACATGTACAGATGCGGACAGACACAGACGCACACGTACACACACCACACACACACACACACAGACACACACGTACACACACACACACACAGACACACACATACACACACCTGGAAGCGGGCATGAAGCAGAGACGCCATCACAAACGGCTGCGGCCTTGCAGTCGTCCTCAGGACTGCACTGTTGCTGCTGCTGTGCAGGAACAACGCGGCACTCGCTGGTGCAGCAAGGGAAGCGGACGGGGTCCTGTGGACTGCAGTCGAGGCCGACCGGGATGGTGCAGTTGCTCGTGCAGCACGGGTCATCATCACACGCGTCCCCACAGTCGCTTCGTGGTGGCAATGGTTGGGGTGGTGATGGTGATGGCGGTGGTAGTGAGGAAGGTGTAACAGAGATGTTGACTAAACGTAATGCGCAATGTAACTGAGGTGAAACAAAGGGAAACAGCCCAGCGCGCAAACAACACGCTTCAGTTGCTCTATCAAAAGCAGTACCCTACCACTCCCAGCCACGACTGGCGACAGGGTAGCGTTCACCTCGCCGCAAACTCACCATGGCTCGTTGCCTTCGACAATGCCGTTGCCGCAGAACGATCGCGAGTCGTCAAAGCAGCCTGAGCACCGAGCACGCAGCAACACACACACACACATGCATTGTACGCTGTTGAGATGCACGAAAAGGGACAGCACACACACACACACACACAGAGGCGCAGACACACATACACACACATACATACATACATACATACATACATACATACATACATACATACATACATACGTACATACATACATACATACCTACATACATACATACATACATACATACATACATACATACATACATACATACATACATACATACATACATACATACGTACACATATACATACACACACATACATACACACGCACACACAACGCACCCGCTCCCGACGAAAGGTGGGTGGCAATGCTGGTGCGGCTGCACGGAGAGAAGAGCTTGTTGTTTGGCAGTGAACCATCTGTGGCCGATGGAAACATGATGTAATTTCCGTCCGGATCGCCGGGCGTGCAGGCGGCGGTTTCGTCATGCGGTGACCCCCAGTTGTGCCCAAACCTATGGAGGGCAGCGCGTGAGCGTCGGACGGGCACGATATGTGTGGGTGAGCACCTACGGGTGTCCGACAGAAGAAAGAAGGATAGACACACACATACACACACAGGCACACAAACAGACACACAGACACACAAACAGACACGCACACACAAACAAACGAACACAGACACACAAACAGACATGCACACACAAACAAACGAACACACACACACACACACACACACACACACACACACACACACACAAGCACAAAGAATCCCCTCACACAAAGCCCTCAATCCCCACGCCCCTTTGGTGTCGTGTCGTACTCGTGCGTGGTGGTGATCATGGTGACTGCCTGCGAGACGCGTGCTCCAAAGTTGAGCGAGGTGGTGAACCCCGTGTTGTATCCCTTTGAGCTGCAGATGCCGGCACTGCCGCCGCCAACCCACGCCAGACCCAGCACGCCGTCCGCAAAGTCGCGGTGCGTGAACACGTGTGCGAGGCACGACCCGCTCCACTGCTTGGTAGAGAACGCCTGCAGGAACGCGTCGGCGGTGTATGCGCCACCGTTGACGGGGCTCGGCGCACCGCTGTCCTCGTACACAACCACGCGCCCAACGGCAAAGCCAAGCCCGTATGTGTCGCCAAACACGGTGCGGCGGAACAGCGTGTCGGCCTCGTTGATGTGGGCAACCATTGCGGCAACCACATCGTTGCGGCGAGAGCCCAGCGCTTGAAAGAACTTGAAGTCGGCAATCACCGTCACGGGGCACGTGCACTTGCCAGCGCATGCCTCTGCACCAACAGGGGCAGAGATAGAAGCTGCACCGTCGTGCCGCGAAGCGTTTGTTGATTGTGCCGCCTGCTGATATCGGTGCTTGGGCCTGCGGATGGTGGTGTGCTGACCAGCGTCGCCATCAGCAGAGCGGCGCGTTCGCCACACGGTTTCCGAGTCATGCACGGCTCCTGTGGGGGTATCGGGGTAGTTGTTGCGTCGTCGCAGGCGCTCGTATGCCTCTGTATCGCATATGGGCCGCGGTCGGTCGAGCATGCTAGGCCGCAAGTGGTGGTGGCCGTACAGCACGTGCGTCTGGGTGCGCGTCGTGTTCGCCTCCGCGTACATGTGTACGGGCTCCAGGCTGAAGTGCGACCCGTTTGTCAGCTGGACCACGCCGGAGAAATACTCGACCAGCCCATCGTTGCGACGGTGAAAATTGGTGTCGGACATGTTTGCCGTGTAGCCCGAGTGGAGGTAGCCATGCACGTACGTGCCGTCGCTGTGCCAGCCGTGCAGAACCGTGGACGTGTTGATGGCGCGTGTTTCCACGGTCTTTCCTCCAGCGCGGTGAACCTCCAAGACGGCGTTGGGGTGAAGCACCTCCGTGTTGGGTTTCAGGGTGAGGTGGAGGGAGGGAAAGTCCAAGTCAGCTGGCGTTTCCATTGCAAACGCCACCGCACCGTCCTCACCACCGTCCTCACGACCTGGGCGACGCAGCAGCGTCACACTCGCCAGGGTGAACTGCGACACCACATCGTCCAGCGCAGGCAAGCGGGTCGATTCCTCCTGTTGCTGTCGCGCATCGCTTGGCGCACCGTAGCAGCCACTCGCACATAGCAGCAATGTGCTGGCAGCCAGCCACATCACCACAACACAACCACCACCACCACCACCACAACCACCACCAGCAGCAGCGACAACGGCCATCCTGAATGAGGACACACAGCTGTGTTTGTTTTGTTTGTGTCTTCGTGGTGGTGCGGTGTGTCAGCGCGTCGTTGTCCTCCCTGCTGCTTGTTCCTGGTTGTTTGTTGCTCTTCTCTGTTTTCTGCACGCTGGTGCAACGCCGATAATTAAAGGAAGATGTTCACAATTTTTCACAACTTTGCTGCACTTTTTCTGCTCGTCCTCCGACGCACTGCTGCTGCTGTTGTTGTGCGTGCTTCTGCTGCTGTGTTGCATCCCGTGTGTTGGTTGGTGTTGTTGCTGTTGAGAGGCAGTGAAGCAAGCAAGCAAGATGGCCTTCCGTGCCTCGCGACGACTGATGGGCGTGCTGTCGCTGTCAGCAGACGTCGCCAGCCCCGTGTTCAAGGTGTGCTTGTGGTGGTGGTGGTGGTGTGTGTGCGTGTGTGTGCGTGTGTGTGCGTGTGTGTGCGTGTGTGTGCGTGTGTGTTCAAGGTGTGTGTTCAAGGTGTGTGTGTGTGTGTGTGTGTGCGTGTGTTCAACGTGTGCGTGTGTGTGAGCGTGTGTGTTCAAGGTGTGTGTGTGTGTGTGTGCACGTGTGCACATTGTGCACGTGCATCTCGGTGATGGTTGCAGTGGGGGCCAGAGGAGGTGCATTTGGCAACCCAAGCCAGCGTTTGCTCATGTGTCGGGGGACATGCATGTCTACGTTTGTGCTGCGCAGGAGAACTTTGCCAATGTCAAGGCCGAGGTGGAGAACCTGCGTGTTCTCGTCAACACCATCAAGCAAGGTGCGTGTCATGAAGCCGCGTTCGCTCGCACGCTTCTCATGCTCGCTACGTTGCTGCGCATGCTCACTACATTGCGGCACGTCCTCACTGCTTGCCGCCCGTGTCGACTGTTATGTGGGCCTGCAGGTGGCGGTGCCGCTGCTGTGAAGAAGCACACTGATCGTGGCAAGCTGCTGCCACGCGACAGGATCAACGCCGTGCTTGACAAGGGGTAATGGAAGCCTCGCACACATCTGCGCATGCGTGCGTGTGTGTGTGTGTGTGTGTGTGTGTGCGTGTGTGTGTGTGTGTGTGTGTGTGTGTGTGTGTGTGTGTGTGTGTGTCGTGTGTGTGGTGTGGTGGTGTGGTGGT